CCACAAGTACTTACAATGAAATTGAAGTAGATACAGGGAAGTGAGTGTACTCTTCACACTGTGACGATAACTTCCACAAATTATGAGCACAATAAAAAGTGGGGAAACAAGAAAAACTACACAACACGCGACATTTTTATGGGTGGCAGTCACTTCTGGCCATCTGCTGTAGTTGTTGCTGTTGTTGTTATGGTGTTTGTATGGTCCCTCTGTCAAAGTGCTAAGTTTGCAAGTGCTGTGTATGTTACGTATGATGCCACACTCAGGACTCTGCCACCAATGCACAGTGGTTCGTTTGGATGAAACTTTTGCGGAAACTGTATAACTTCTAAATGAATTGAGATGTGACTCTAAAAAACTATTTTCTAATGGTGTTGGTCCTTAAAGCAACCCTTCACCTACAATTTACTACAAATATTCTAATTTATTCGATGTATCAAAGGACAATTCGAGACCGATTAGGTTTTATTTCTACTTAATGAATACTTTTTTTTAAACGAAATGGTTATTTACGAAAATTGGCTAAAATTCCTATGTCCTTTAAAAAATGTTTAAAATGGCTTTCTAATAAAAAGATAAATATTTTGAGTAGGATGCACAATATATTGTAAAAAAGGAAAATAATAGTACGTAGTATTTCCTAATGGTGTTGGTCTTTAAAGCAATACTTCAATTATAATTTGCTACAAATATTCTTATTTATTTGATTTCGCAAAGGACAAATATACGGTACACTTCTAGACCGATTAGGTTTTATTTGCACTTAACAAATACTTTTTTTATACGAGTGTAATGGTAAGTAGTAGTAGTATAAAAACAGGAAAATATAAATAAAGTAAACATCATACCTAACCACTGTGCGACGTGTCAGCTGCCGAGTTGAGAGTGCGAAAAACTTGGCATTAAATTAACTTGAGTGGCTGCTTGAGGGACAGTGAGTGTGGTAATGGTCAGAGCTTGGCATTTATGGATCACCGTTTCAGCTAGAGCTCTATTCTTCAGCTACATACATTATGTGCAGCGTAAGGGCTTGATTATTAAAACAGGGAGGACAGGTACAAAGATAAAAGCCATGTGGTATAGCGATTAGTGCACAACAACGCAAGTAGTGCTTAAATTTGCAGTAGAATGGCGAGCAACATATGAAGAATGCCGATTAATCGATTAAGGTTCCTAGATATTATAAAAATTTATTAAAAAGAGAAATACTCGTATGTGATATTTTTTGGTAATTCAAAGCTCAAGCTAATATATAGCTTATACATATTAGACTACTAGGTGTTACTCGTCTTTGCTGGGCTAAGTATTTTTTCTTACAATTATAAGTTTATTTAAAATATGCTTTTTCTCTTCTGACACTCTAAAGTTTCTAAAGGAACCAACCCAACCGCAAATTTCTTTGGTGCGTTGCGAGAGATTTTTTGCTTTTTTGACGCTGTTGAAATTTGTGCCGCAACATTGTTTTTACAGGAAAACTCTCCTTATTTAGACCCAAGTATGCAGTTTTTCTTGGAATTTGAAAATTGGAGAGTAAACAGTGTAAGTTTGAAGTCAATCGCTTAGAAAATACGAATTTTTCATACAAACTTTGGAGCCTGATTTCCCCCCTTTGGAGCACGAATTTTCCGCTTCTTATCGCCAACCTACGCTATGACGTAAATATCAGCTTACCGTCTGGGCTGTCCGTTGATCACCAATCAGTCAGGACAAACTCTTTTATATATAGAGAGATTAGATTAGATTAGTACATCGAGGTTATGTATTGGCAATCAGTGATACCAGTATTCGCGCAAGTAGAAGGGATTTATGGGATTGGTACAATGTGTCTCATAGTCGAGTTAAAGTTCTCTTTTCTATTATTACCATTCTCAGTTCCTAATGCTTAGGAATATTACCATTTCAGCGTGGGCCAAGTGGTGGCTCTAAATCGGACACAACTATCAAATGGAAGAAGCATTTAGAACCTCAGCTCTACTCTCATTTCCCTCCAAAAGTTTATTATACTTGTAGCATACATATATTATAGCGCACTTGTTGAATTTGGTCTTGGCAGCTGCGGCCGTTAGCTGAACGGCGACGGTGCTATTTTAAAAGTAAAATTATTAAAACTTTTTAAATTATCATGACGACGACAACGCGCCAAATGACAGCGCGGACAACTTTGCACTCGTTGCCAGCCCGCTCACAGGCGTTGCAAGTCCATAAAACTAAAATTAACAACGAATAAAAGTGCACAAAGTTAATTTATGCAGCAGCAGTGGCAACCATTGCGACAGCTATATGCAACAACCGTTGCTCCGTAGTTGCCCGGCCAACGGGTCACCGCCGTTGTGCGATGGGGGGCTGGGAAGGGAGGTGGCTAAACGGTGTGGCGTCGAAGTTCTGCGTAGGTTCACTTGAAAGCGGAACACCGAACGCCATATTAGATTCGAATGCATTTCCCTTTTGTCGACACCTCCCGCTTCCGGTTGCCAGCCCAACAAGCGGAAATGAACAACAAACTTTTCAATTGAGTTTTCCGTTTTGCCTCTGCATGTTTTCGCCGCACGCAGCTGCTGCTTGCAGCATTGGTTTAGTCGCCTTAGTTGCTTAGCCGTCTAACGCTGGCAATGGCCTGCTGGGCGTGCCGACGGGGCGTATGATGAGAGGCAACTACGTATACGTATACAGCCGAAGGCAACGATAAAGTTTTAACATTATTTTTGGTTATTTTGCTGTTTGTCAATTGTGCTTGTTAGACTCTGCGGCTGCGCTGGGCGGGGCTAATGAATGGGCATGCTAGCAGGCTGACACACATACGAATACATAGCTTGTTTGCTAATATTTAAGCCTTAAGGCAGTTATCATAAATTAGGCGGAACACAATTAGAGAGGGCGACTTACTTACATGCTTGATATACAGCAATATAGTAAGTGACGATATATATGGCATGAAGTATAATTTTTCGTGTAACGCAAGTGCTCTGTCATTTCTAGTTGTGATGTAAGAGAGGTTGACTGGATAAATTAGTTTATTATCGCTAAGCTAAATAAAATTGAAAAGGTTTAATGGCCAATGTGATTAGCCATTATTTGTTGGATTATTGCATTATACAATGTGTACAAGCCTGAATCAATTTTAAGACGAACATCGTCTTCAAATCGGCTTTCTTTTGTAAGGATGTAACATGAGCAATTGTTATTATTAAGTCTGTAACAAGTAACGATTGAATTGGTATGAGGAATGGCCCTAAAACGGTTATGGTTATGTGTGTTTACATCTTCATAAGGTCTTCACATGATGATAAAAACAAATGGCATTATAAAATGTTGTTGCGAGTTGCTGTCATTGATGACGCACTGTGGCAAAAAAAGGGAAAACTTTAATTAATTTGCGAGTAAATCTTTCGTAAAGCACGCAAAGTAAAGCTAAAACATATAAAAACAGGAATAAGAAAAGGCCAGTCAAATCAAACCTCATAAATTCCAAACAAATTAAGCAACCAAATAACAAGACAGCAGCAAATGTTGTGTAATTTTGGTTTGTCGAGGCATGAGAAGGCACAGCAGGACATCGGACAGATGATGCCACTGCTACTTGTAGCCCAGAGATGATAATGATGGGCATTTACTACTCGTACATGGGCAGCGCATGCTAAGCCGGAAACAAAACAAAACAAAACAGCCTCACAGAGCGCCCATGAATGGCAGGCCGTAGCAATCATGAGAATTGGACAATGTGCACAAGAAGAAGCAAATAAATTTGACGCAAGTACGAGATGAAAAGATGAAGGAAAAGCTGCCGACACCAACCAACAAACCACCAACTAACCAACCAACCAATTGTACAAGCAAGGCATTTGGCTTGCGAGACAAAATGGAAAAAAATACAACACATCAGCAAACAGGCAATAAAGTAAGTTGTACAGAAAATAAAATAAAATCAAATAAAATGAAAAGCGCCTTCAAATGAGGTACAAAAAAGCTGAGCTGGGTTGTTGCCCTTCCGCTGAGCTTACGAATGGGGCCAGGCCAAGCCAGCGCTGGCTTACATCCGCCGCTGGTCATTTCAATCAATTTACTTCCACACACACACACACTCACTCGCACAGAAACAGCACATCTACGGAGTATCTTTTTTATTTTTTATTTTATAAATGGCATGCCAGTAGCAGCACGAACAACTCACAGATATTCGGAATGATGCCGGAAATGGCAGTCATGACGGAAACGAAGACACATTGTAGCTGGGCACAGAGCGCTCTTTGTCTCTAGATTTTTGGGGTGGTGTGTGAGTGTGTGTGTGTATGTGTGTGTGCGTGCAAGTAAAAGCTACGTAAGCAGTTATTTGTCATTTGTCCAGCCTCACACACATGAGTGCTAGTATGAATGCAATAATGTTTTGCGTTTTGTGTCTGCCCAGACACCGAAAGTCGTAAAAGGTATTTCAGTTTGATTGAGGGAATATTTTCTTCGCATTTCTAATTACACCGAGCTAGGACAAATAAACATGTGCATGTCTCATCGTAGGTGTTATACATATACAACTTTTTTTTTTATAAATATACATACTTGATATAATATAGTATATACTCAACTAAAGCATTCGTTTCTTGTTTAATTTATATGGCTTGATAATGACAGAATATGTTTTCAGGCATCGCTGATTCTTGCTCTTCAAGCATTTTAATAAATTTTAATTGCGGTGGAGGCATATTAAGGCCTTTAATGACTTTTGTGCCGATGTGCAAAGGCTTAATGTAAATGCTCCAAAAACCATGTCTACAGCTAGGACTGCTAAAGATAGATTAAATAGAGTTTTCGACTGATAGTTTCTGCCTGATTGAATTTTTAATATTTAAAAAATATTAATTTAAATTTGTCGACAAATAACTTCTTTTATAGCCTGAGCTGTTTTTTGTGTGCTTAGCACACTTAAGGATTCTAGAATAATTATAAACTTTGTAACCATTTACTTAATACTTATTATTTAAAATTCATTTATACGGCAGCCATAGCATTTGATAAATGGGCTGCTTGTATGAATTAAAAATCCAAGTGACCGAAAGCCTACATAGGTAGAACGATGGGGTCTGCTGAGCCTTCAGCAAAACTTCAAATCACTAAGAGGAATTATCTGCTGTCTAAAGTATGTTTGGTTAGCCCAGTTAGCCCTTTTCGAACGTAACCTAAGAGGAGGAATGCTCTTAAATATAAATTTATCGTCCGCAAAACACATTTAATACAATAATTTACTTACAACAACAGCCCGACTGTGTAATACTGTGCATTGGTATATGTGTCCTGCACATTAAGGGAAAGGATCAAAATCTAAGACCTTGGCACGAAATGTGCAGGACGCACATTGTGAACCTCGCCGATAACGCTAGTGCGCTAGCCGCAAATATTTGAACTGGCTAATCATTTGCTCCGTAATATGTACATCGTCGATCAGCGAGGCCTTGCTCTCAGTACGGTAGCAGTTAATTCGCCCGCACTCGGAACAGACGTCGTGCACCTTGGTTACCTTAATTTTCGGGACCACTGGCGGACTAACAAGCGCATTCAGCGTGGATCCGGATGCCAATTCATGTGCAACCCGCTCACGAGTTGTCATGCGCGGATGACTGAACTGTCGATGGAGATCAATGCGGCCCTTATGACCGTGACGCTGATGACGTCGCTGCCGCTCCCGCTCGTCACGTATCAAGCGCAGACGCTGCTCTTGCGCCTTTCTCAGGGCCTTTTCGTGATTTTGTTTCTCCAGCAGCAACTCCAAAGGTGTTTTTTGCTGCTCAGCAAAGTACCTGGCCCAGCGAAGCTGCACTGTTTTCGGGTCGTAGCTTGGAACTTCCAAGACTGGTGGGCTGTCTTCGAATGAATCGTCTGGGGACTGCAAGCTGTTCAGAGATATTCCGCTGGTAGTGCGGCCGAGACGAATCTGACGATGGCGCTTGTTTAATGCCTCCATTGTGCGGTCGTAATCCATTTCTACGAGAGACACTCCGAAAGATGTTTGTGACTTTAAAATACGCATCTCGTACAGTTTCGTTAGAGTGTCATTGTACATTTCCGGAGTACGCGTATAGTTTTTAAGGAGGCGAATGTCTTCTGCGTTCTTAGGAACTTTTCGCATTAAAAGCAATTGGTAAACGCGCTTGTACTCATCCATCTTAGCGCCCACAATTTCATGCAGATCTTCGTCTAGGGCACCCGATTCCAAATCGTTGGTGAGCTTTCCCAGCATCTCTTGATTTTCATCAACAATCGGTTCCTGCGTTGCGGATATATTTTTCTGCAGTTCTATTGGAAGATTTGTTGCGTCAATATGGTCAACTTTATCCGTATGTGGAGATGCTGTTTCTTCTGAAAGCTTTTGCTGTTTGCCATGCTTCAGTTCAGCTCTTGATATCTCCTGCAGACTTAGGAGCTTCTTCTCCAATTCCTCGTTAAACATATGATTTTCAGCATTACGCTTAAAGATTTCCGTCTGTGATTGTGTTATATCGGGTGCTGGCTTAAAAACAGCTTTCCAATTAGGTGAATCAATGGAACCTTCCTCTTCTTGTGATTTAAGCCACGCCAAGCTGCGTCTGCTCAGTTTGTTGTCAAGACTGGTACGTGTCTGTGATAAGGAAGTTGCAAGAGGGGGATCTCCCAAGGAGACATCTTTTATTTCCGTTGAGGTCCCCTTTTCCACTACTTTCAGTTGTTCTCCTGATACCAGATTTTGTTTGCTCGGCTTAGGAGTTGGTTGTATAGGGGGTATTGGAGTTAATGGAAGAGAAGTTACCGATTTTTGCTGCTCCTTGGTGACTTCAAAAGAATCTTCGGTATATAAAGAGACCATGCTGTGGGTGGGATTTTGCTTTTGCGGTGTTTGTAACGGGGTGGAATCCCAAAACGAAGAAACGCTTACTTCAGCACGAGGAGTTTTTGGATATTTTACCTTTTTGGAAGCGTCTTTGTCAGGAAATTGCTCGCCAAAACGAGGTCGTTGCTTGGTGTGGGATGCCTTTTTCATTGGCATCGGAACAAATTTGGCATGAGCTGTGACTACTTTTTTGCGGCCTATCAAGAGGTCTGTGCTAATGCTAGAAGATCTGTTGACATATAACATATCACCGTCGTTTGCAATTAAGCTTGCTTTCCTTTTTTTCCCTTTTTTTCCAGTATCCTTCGCTTGCTTTATTGTGTCCGGAATATAAAACTGGTCAGAACCTTTTAACTCCTTGGACAGCCGCTTAGTTTTCTGTTTACCTCTTTTCTTTCCCTTTAGCTTTTTTGTATAATTCCTTCCTTCCAGTTTCAAATCACCACTGTGCCTACTAGTACCATCGTTCTTTGTTCGTTGATCCTTAGTCATCTCCGGCTTGGTATCGCTGTCCAAGTATCCATGGTCCCCTGATGCATTTTTGTGTTTCTGATCTATATTTGTGTCCCCCTTTGTTTCGTATAATCTCTCCAGTTTTGTATCAGATCTTAAATCTGTAAGTTCTCGAAAGCCATCCTGCTGCCTTTCAGACGATCTTTTCGCAGTTTTCATTTTACTAAGACTCTTTGTGGCTCTTCTTTTGGGCTTTGATATCAGACCCAATGCTTTTTTTATTTTATATAGTCTATTCAAACTGCTGCTACTTTTTTTGAAGTCTAAACTGTCGCCCATTTGTTGCCCTCCAGTTGAAGTGTGTAGTTTATCGGCACTTTTATTTGTTTCTAGCAATAGTTTGCTATATTTTTGCGTTATTTTTGAACCATTTATATTAAGGCTCTCTACTTTGTCCAGTTCTTTGAAAATAATTCTTTTTTGTGTAGTGCTTTCTTTGTTAGGGCCATGCAAGCGGATTGTTCTCTTTCCCGTCTCCTTAACTTCATCTTTTGGCTTCTCCTCTGTCTCTTCGTGTAAAATTGCCATCATAGTAACACTGTCAAAGGAAGTGATGCTCGACTGCATCTGCGGATTCTTTAAGTTTGATTCTGGTTCTAGTTTACGTTTCATATGGCGTAATGCATTTATCATGGCATCACTAGTAAAGGATTTCGTATGATCGCCCGGCGTGAGTGGCTTATAATTGTGTGCCTTTCTCCGCTTAACCGTATTCGTAACTCGCAATAAAGAATTCAGACTACCGAGTAGGGAGCGCCTTTTATGCACTTTTTTCGATTGTTTTCTTGCGAGAAATGGACTTCGTTCTTTTGTTTCGCTTTCTTGCTTTGCCAGATATTCCATTTCCTGTCGCATAGTTTTGCCTTTTCGTTTCTTCATTCCGTGTAGTATTTTCTTTAATGGCACATTTTCAAGAGGACCGGCTGCTTCTAAGGAGGTGATTCCTTCAATGTTTGCCATAATGTCGTCCACCGTACCGTCCTTTCTCCTTTTGTATGTTTTGTTCATCTGTTGAGCATCGCCTTCAGTTGTCCCTTCAGTTCTGAGCGTTTTGAGAAAGGCTTTTATAAGCGCCCTCTCTTTGCCGCGAGCCGCCAACTTATTCAATAGAATTTCTGGCAATTGTAGTTTCTTTTTTTTGAACGCCCTACGCGAACCTTTGGGAAGCTTCAATTGATCTGCCTGATCCTCGCGCCGATTAGGTACACTGTATGGTACTTGACGCAAACCAAATTGCTGTTTTTGAATCACTTTTTTGCTTAACGCAACATTCAGATAACTCGCCGTTTCTTCGGAAAACCTTATTTTTTTCTTAATTTTTCCGCGAAGTGCTTGTTGCGTTATCTGTAGTTCCTTATCTGCATCCTCCAGCGGTAGCAGCCCATCGAAGGCTAATTCCATACGAAGAATATGCTTGCGGAAGTATTTCCACATATGTGGGGAGCTCCGTGCCACTTCCTTTAGCTTTTGCAGCTCGCTCTTCAGTTGCCTTTGCCTCGCCTTGTGGTCGTCGAGAATGTCATATTCCTTTCGGAGCGCGCGCTTCAGTTGTCTCACCAGTTTCTTGTAAAGGCGTCGGGCTAGGCATCCTCTGCGCTTACGACGTTGGTGTTGTCGCCTCTTCCATATCCAGTGATTATGTAGCTTATTCAAAATGATCGTTCGAAGCTCCTTCAATTTGTTCTGACGCAATGCAAAGATAAGTCTTTTGTCTAAAGATGCATATTTTCTATTTTTCGCTAACTTCTGCAACTCTTGGGGAATCGTGGTTCTGCACCCACCAGATTTCCCTCGCCTAGTTTTGCTTCTCTCTACCGGCATTTTTGTATAATTGATTGTAATTCCAACCTTTCTGGACAACTTTACATGTTTCCTTATTTTAATTTGATATATATTTTGGTTTTTCTAAAACAGTTTTTATTAAAATACGACGTTTAGTTTTGAAATTTAGAAATTGAATGAACATGCAAATGTTAATTACTATAATTGTATAGGTAACAATTTTTGGTTCTGCAAAACCTATACCTTGAATTAAATACGACGTAGTATTAGTTTTGAAATTTAAAAATTGAATGAACATGGAAATGTTAATTAATTGTATAGGTAACCATTTGTGGTGGTCACTATTTATTATTTATTTATTTATTATATTTTTAGGACAACAAACAATGACTGTCGACATAAGGAAACAATGTGGAACTTATAAAAGAGCCTTATAAGCCTAAGTATGAGAAATATAATCAAATTACCATAATACCTAAAAAAAAGCCTCCGACTCGGTGAGAGAACTTTATTTGCCTTTCGGCTAGGTATGCCCCGACTCACAGTCAACTGAGGTCAGAGGCGTCAATAGATCAACCAAATCAAAAGAAAAAGAAGCTTATAATTGAAAAAAGTAATTTTAAAAATAAAGAAAAATAATATGTTTTTTTGTAGGAGGAGTGGGGATGGAGACTGGAATCGCACAAGAAGCATATGCACATGACGGCGAAATTTGTTTTCTGCACAGGCTTGGGTTGCAAATATATATTCTACTAAACATAAACAGACCAAAATCATTCTACACTACTAGTCTGTGCATATATTTTTTAGTTTAGTTTAGGTATTTATTTTAGATATACTATACACGATAAAACAGCGTGTCGCCTCGTCTCGACACGTGTCTTAATGTTTTTTCTTTGTCTTTCTTTGTGTTTCTTTGTACTCCCATTTTCTTTTCGGCACATTTGTTTTGATCGGCTTAGACCTGTCCTGACTGCTGCCTTATGCGACTGCCATCGGCATGGCCATAGGGGTATTATCGTGACGGAACTGTTATTAGTGAGGAACTTAGAACACGAACCCAAAGCAAAGTTGGAGAGCTGTATTGGTTCGTTTGCAGCACGTAGTTTGCATCTTTCAGCAGCAATCGATGATAAGAATTAATGATTATTAAGCACACACACACATACACACAAGGCACACACAATATTGATATTGAGTGTGATGGACAGTGATGTGAGACAAGCAAGCTGGCATTGAACGAGACAACCAACCAACTAAGCAGACAGGCAGTGAGACAAGGACCTCCTAAGTTGCAGCTACTAAGGATGCCTGTGCAAACATAAACATAAACAACCTGTCATATTTGTCTTATTATACTATACTATATATGCTTCTTCAGACAATGGCTGCGTCATGTTTGCTTGTCTGTTTGTTTTAAAGTGTACAAGGGCGTAGGCAGCTTTTACCAAAAGGGGGGCCAAAAAATTAAAATTTTGATTAAATAATGCACGATGCATTTAAAAAATAACATTCATGTAATCAATGAAAAAACTTCAACAAATCCAACTCAGATCCATTTTAATAATGAACGTGTGGTCGACTTTATATGGCAAACATTTTTGTCCCCCTCTGCCTACGCCTTTGAAAGTGTGTGTGTGTGTGTGTGTGTGTGTGTGCGTGTGCTTGGTCAGGCTGTGCGCTTCATGTCTGCCATGCAAACAGCACAAAATAAATTGAGTGCTTGGCAAATAAGTTCGAGCAGCATACCAAAATTTTGTATATTGCAGAATGCACAGAATTGGTATATTATGATTTATGTGTATCAATTTCGTTTGTTCGTCTGTTAACAGATTTTGTGCTGCATTCTGCAGGGATGTGGAGTTTGTTCTGATGTTGCTGACGATGCTGTCACCTTTAATTAATGTTTCTGATTTAATCAATTTTCCTTAAAAAGCTAAGGTAAATATGATATGCACGCTAAACACGCAACTGTTTCATGGCATTAGAAGTCAGATGGCAGCTGTAAGCAGACCACTAGAAGTAAGATTCGCTTATGAGTTTGAATATATGTATATGTTGGCGCATATTTCTTTTCCATATGAGCTTGTGTGTGTGTGTGTGTGTGTATCTACTCACATCTATCACGCGTAGAACGAGCGTAACGTGCTACTCGTATGTCACGTACGACGTCAGTAAATTGCAATAAACCCAGCAAACATGCGTCTTGGCGACATTTAATAGAAATAAGTGGCACAAAGAAGAAGGCAGCAAGAGCTAGCCTCAAGAACCAAATAAAAGTGCATAGATGAAGAGTACAATGTGTACCTCAACGAGAATCGTTTGAAAAGTTCTCGGCCTGAGCTTATATTCCACTACAAAATATCTCCGTACAACTATTACCATACACATAATAGAATGTTTCGAACTTTTCATTTGAACCAAAAGCCAAAAGCATAGAGCATACGAACTTTATTTACAGAACAACACTAGCAGTGAATAGACATAATATTAATTACTTAAAGTGGAAATGTAGGCAAATAAATACTTTTCAACTTATAAATTCGATAAAAGTTTACAAATGCAACTGTCTGCGAAAACTTCTCAAGCTTCGGTCCTCGTATTCGATTTGATTGTATAATGTTCATCAAACTCGAAATTTATTTTTCTTTGATTATTTCTTGTTAAATTTAGCATCGTACGTTTTGTTGCTGTACGTTTATTTGAAACCCATTTGGCCTGGGCGACATTTGTCAGATTATTTTATTGCCAGCGTTGAATAACGAGTGTCAAGCTATTAAAACTAAATGGAATTAATTTACGCTCCAGCTGAAGTGTGTGCAAAAAATATATGTATTTTAATTATCACTCAGTACGTGATCGCAATGTTCAAGGTCGTGCCAAGAACAGCCGGTCCATTTTAGACAAATTTCACTATATACATATGTACATATACAAGTATAGCTTGCATTGCACTTTTTTGGTTAGATTTGGGAGAGGCAGTGTTGGAGGAAAATACGCAAATTGCCATTCGCTCAATTGTTATTGGAAGTCATTAGTGAAGCCAATGAAAAACATTTTAAATCATTCATCGCACACAAACACACATCTACGATTTTTTCCGCGTTTCATTTCATGCGATGAGTGCAAAAAATCCAATTATGTCGAAGCACGTATTTTCCATTAAGCAAACACACTGAACTCTTTACACACAAGCACACAAAACACCAACACTGTTGGCCGTATAGCGAGGCAGCAGTCCACAGCCACAATCATATTATAGTGGCCATAAGGTAGGCCAGCAAACCGCACGCCTGGCTGACCCATTAATGAATATGATTTTTTAACAATTAAGGCTATCAATTGCGTGCATTGCTTGGACAGCTCCGCAGAGGGGACTTAAGTCGATGCCAAGCCATTAAGAGCACATGGCTTGACTGGCAGAGCTGAACAGAAGCAGTGCAGTGTAAGTCACATATACGCACTTGACATTTCAATTTCCGCTTCCGGCTTAGCAAAAAAAGACAATGCCGACAATGAAAGATGTTAGCTACTAAAAACTCGAGCCAATTTCATACAGGGCGCGCAGCAAACGTGGCACGGCAGCAAACCTGCTTTCAATTACCCAGTCAGGACACGGTGGGTGCTTTTGTTTTTTTTACATGCCCCATACAACTTGAACTCGCCAACTTTTTGCAACAGCTACGTTTGCTTCACGTCAGTCTATTCACATTTTACGCTTTGTTGGTAGCCCGAAACTGCCGGTTCCTGGATGTCTGCTGCACTTTATTATGCTCACAAAAGTGTAAGACGGAGCGTAGGGATGCGTGCGTGACCAGTGACGATTAATCTGCCGTGCGCAACCCTTTTTTCCATTACATAAAAAGTGCTTTTATCGTAAAGTATAACCTCTGATTGAGGCCTTCGTTTTCACAAAATTACCTATTACTGTCTTCAGTACTATAAAGTGATGTCCTCCATGGTCATAAAATTTAACTCCATTCTTTTGTTCCTGTAGTACCACAGTGTTTTTTCACTTATCATCGCAATTCGTGACACGCAAATGGTGTAACTTTGTCAGGTATGATAATATTTAGCATTGAGCTATTTAATATTAATATCTTTATAACCAACAAGAACATACATACAAAACATCGACACATAGATTCATCTCATCCTGCTCATTATATATGTACCTTTAACATTATTGAACATAAGCGATGATTATTAATCATTACAAATATTATTGTTTATTATCTTCTTCCTTTCTGAGCAACTAAAAAATATAAATATAATATCAAAACTGCCAATTATTTGTACACATATTATCACTAATCTGTTTTTATGGTTTTTTTTTCTATTTTATTCGTAACTTAATTCGTGCTTCTGCGATGATAAGTTGTAAGTGGTCTCTGAAATACACTCAATTAGCGGGATTCCTGCTAGATCGTTGAATGATGCCAAGGCCCCTGTTTTTATAGTGATCTCAAACAGATAGCTACTTGTCTTTGTTATTTTTTAAGAGATATTTTTACGAATTTGTTTCATTTTGTTTACTGCAATAAGTAAACTTTTGTTTGTAGCTTTACGCCAATTTCAGAATTCTAACCCAGAGGTTTGCAGTCACGTCGTTGTCGCTAAAACACAGCGTAACGCGTGGCTTTTTGTTCACCTGTTGGTGGCAAGGAACAGGGGCGGAACACGGGTGAACACAGGGCACATGGCACAGGTACTTCATGTCCCAGTGTTTCTTCGGATAATAAAAATAATAGCAGGTAAAAAAAAGGGAAACTGCGGGAGCTGCAGCGATAAGGCTACTCTGACTGAAGTGGACAGAAAAAGCTGAAAAGTGGCATTAATAACAAGAGGCGGCTGAGATAAGCAGGCGTGCGTTTGAAGGTCTGCCACATTCTTGTTGTTGCTGGCTGTTGACGCAAAATTCGATTGCTAGCTTAAATTATGCTAATTTACTTTTCAATTCAATTTAAATTTAATTTTCAACGCGCAGCGCGTTTTAGTTTTATTTCCGTCAACGCTTTTTCAATTTGGTTCGTTTGCCACCCGCCGTCGTGCATTTTCGCATTTTCACGAGAAATAATTTAATTTGCCTTTTCCACTTCGAC